GATGAGAGTCCTGTGGTAAGCATACTTAGGTCCCTGTGTCTTCCTTCAGTCTACTCCAGGCAGACCCTGCTGGACCTATATCCAGAACTGGACTACTTGTAGTGGTCTCCAGTACAGAGAGGAAGAGCAGGCTCAGTTTGAATGCTTGCCTATTGCCCCTCCCCACTCATTTAAACTTACCAGATCCTTTCATGTCCCAGGCTTGTGGCATCAGAAATGTCCAGCCTGGCTTCAGCTGACTCTGCTGTAGAAGAGGCTTTGGGAGACACCCTGGATGACAACTGAGCAGCAGCTGTGCTGAAGCTTTGACGGGCCTAGAGTGTGGCAGAAATCAGACCTGAGGTGTCTTCCCAGAACTTGGAAGAGAAAGTGCTGTTTTAGACAGATGGGCTGTTGGCCTGCCTTGCTTTCTGGCTAAAGAGAATAGGCCAGGGAAAATGGCTTAGGGTAGACTATCCCTCCCAGGAGTACTGACCTCATGGGAGAGCACTGAGGACCCAGTGTACTGTGACTGGGGCAAGGGACTTGAAGGCTGCCACACCAAGGATAGCCTGGATCAGGCATCAGTCGTGTTCAGGGGACCTTGGCTCTGCCCTAGAGCCCCCAGACCTTCTCCTTTCCTGCCTTTAGCCACACAGCCTTTGCTCTGCTCTGGGACCTTCTTGTCCATCTGGGTTACCACCCCTTTTTACTGTCTCCACTCAAATCTAGATGATCTAATTTCTTGTCTTTTATGGCTGTGGGAAATTGTATGTGTTCAGAGTACACAGAACCTACATCCTCACAAAAAGTGGCCGCAAGCTGACAGTGGGGTCAGAACTGAGATCCCATAAGGCCCTCCTGCATGCTGACTTCTTCCTGGAAAACTGCTACCCTTAGGTCTTCCTCAGTGACCTATCCTAGAGAAACCATGCCTTGCCCCACCCCTTAAAAAAAAAAAAAGAAATGGGATTTGAGAACAAGGCTATAGTCTGTCTGAATGGAGCTGGAAGGAAGGATTGTGGAGACTGATTTCAGAACCATTGCTCAGGCCAGCAATGTGGACATGATATAGTAGTTTGATGTAGACCACAAGCAAGTGGCCTCCATGCTCCTCTGTCTAGCTCCAGCTCCTCCCTGGATAGTACTGCTAATGTCAGCGCTTCCCACCTTCTACACCTCGCTTAGCCATAGATAAGGCCTGCTGTTGTCTCCAAGTGACCCTCTGTCCGGCCAGTGTTGTGCATGGTGCAGCTGCGTGACTAAGATCTGAAGGGATGAAGGTCTTTGCCAGAACCCTGGTGGGTGGAATGCTCAAAACACTTTATTTAGTAATTGCAGGGTGGGGTATATGGCCCTTGAACCCATTGGTGCTCTGGTCTCCCCAACTTTTCCTGAACCCCAGCACTGTAGCAGTAGTTGTGTAGCAGTATGGTCTCTGCGTCCTTGTATCCTGTGGCAGCCTGTGCTGGTCACAGGAGTCTCTACCTGTCCACCGAAGCCTGTTGGGTAGCAGGTATGAAGGTAATATCCATGAAATTGGAGATTTCAGAGATGGGGCACAGTGGTCTATACTTCTGGAGCAGGTAAGAAGTCATGAGGACCTGTGGAGATCCTCTTGGGAACATTTGACTCAGGTTCTATACTGAAACTCAGCAGCCAGTTGGGAGAAGCAAGCTGAAGAGAGAAAGATCTGGGAGGGAGCGCCCTATTTCCACCTTAGCTGGAGAGGTAGTTAAGATGCCAGTAGGTTGGGTGCTGCCCCCAGGGGTCAGAGGACTGCAAGGACTGGTTGGTTCATGGGAGTCCTACCTGGGTGGATACCTGAGTGGAGATCTTGAACTTGGGTAGACAGCAGCCCAGAGAACAAGGAAACTGGTAGATTCAGCATGAGGGGAAGTCTAAGGAAGGCTGCTGAGATGTTTAAGTAGTTGGTGAGAAGGGAGCCTGGAGTACTGGAGCAGTATTTGCCTGTACAGGTTCTAATACTCCAGACTCAGATTTTCCAGGGGCAATACTGTCACATGGGTTAGGAAGCTCGGGACAAGGCTTCAGACAGGCTTGGGCCAGGCCTTCCTGCTTTCCAAAGGGAACCTGCCTTAGGCTTGTTGATAATAGGGGTAAGAGTGAGCATATACTTTCTTGGCTAAAGGGGATGGGGCTGAGCCTTAGGGGATCATGATGGGAGTTAAGTAGCTTGGCCTCTGAAGAGAAACAAGTCTCCTTGTGGTTGGTTTAATGTCGTACAATTAGGATTTTATTGGTATTGCATAGCAGTAACATGATGGGAACAGTCGTGTAAAGTCCCCATTAGAAAATTGAATGGAGGTGGCAGGGAGAAACAAGCTGTGGAAACAACGTGGTGGCACACGCCTCTAACTCCAGCATTGAGAGGCAGAAACAGGTGGATCTCTGAGTTGGAGGCTAACTTGGCATACCTAGTGAGTTAGTGAGTTCCAGGGCTACACAGAGAAAAACCCTGTCTTGAAAAGCCAGAAAGAAAAAGAAAGGAAGGAAGGAAGAAAATTGAATGGTCAATTTCCTTTACTAGGCATTCAGCTTGGTGTTCTTTTTGGGGTGGGGAACACAAGCTTGAAGCCTGGAATGACTGTGGGATTGTTAGCACAAACAGCACCTTGTGTGTGGGCTTGATTGCTGGTGGCTAACCTGCTGCACATGATAGTCAGATCTACTCTGTACTCTGTCTTGCTGCACAGGTCCTGGCAGGATGACTCCTTGGGCTCCCAGTGTTTGTCTTCTGCCAGACTCCTCAGACAGGAGCTGGCATTCCCCGGGGTGCTGGAGTAGGGGTTGTTTGTATAAGACTCTGGGTTACCAGAGACCAAGCTGTCTTTCTGGATGGCTTCTCTGAGCCTCTGGTGTCCGTGTTTGGTTTTAAGATACCCAGTACTGGTTGTATGTGGATCCATTGAGTGTCTTAACAGAATACCTAAGGCAGGGCCTACATGGGTCATGAATACAGAACTTATCCATTAGTGTTTTGAGCCTTTCTTTCCTTGGTGTCCTAGTACCTTTGTGAGTGGCCACTTTCCCTGGAATTATTTTGGCTCATTTGAAGACAGAGCCTAGAGCCCTGCTTTCTCTTAGACCTGGGGTACCTGAACCTGGTGCTACAGTCACCATGCTCCAGTGCTGGCTGCCTGGGCTCTGACATTTGGCTCTAAGTAAAACCTCTCTGAGCTTCAGTGCTTACCCTGCGGGGAGGGGTGTAGACTGTAGAACAGCAACTATGGGACACTGCTAAAGGCAACTCTGTGCTGTGTGTCTTAAGTATAGGTTAAGCTACTGAAGGCCCTTCCTTTACTGGTGGTCTAAAAGCAGGGCTTTTAGAGACGGGGTCTATTGGGCAGTGCTTAAGCTCCAAAAATGCCCAGACAGACAGAATAACCCATTGTTCCCCAGATGCCTAGGTGATGCTTGAGCAATTTCTGTGCTCTCCTAATGTGCAAGGTGAAAGTTGGTTTACACCAACCGAGAATTTCAGAATTGAGATTTGGTGACAGCCTTGCTAGTACCCCTTGAGTGAGTCACCTTTGTTCCCTCAGGCAGGTGTACATACACACAAGACTCATTCATGAAGGGAAATCTGAAGGTGTCTTCCTTTGAGGTAGGAGCTGGCTTCTATCACTCACTAGCCAGCCCTTCCCTAGGCTAACTGGGGCAGATGACCAAGAAAACAATTCTGTGTGCAGGATGAGACTAGAAAGTGGACTAACAGAATGGGAGGGGGCCAGTGGAGTCTTTTATCGCATAAAAAGCAGAGTACCAAATAGATACAGAGGATTCAAATTCCTAGTAGGGCCTGGGCCTGGATCTGTACTAACTGTCTGTCAGTTTTCCAATTACTTTCTCTTTCCTTTGCTTGCTGCTGTTGGGTAAGACCAGGCTTGCTCTCTCTCCCCCACCCCAACCCTTTGCTGTCCTAGTCAGAGATGGTCATTGTTTAGTATCCATTAAAGTTGACCTCAGTTTATTTAGACTTTGGGTCTAAAACACCCTGCAAACAGCCCTGTCGCAGCTATAACATCAGAGTGCCTATAAGTCTTTGCTTTTTTTTTTCTTTTCCTTTTTTTGTACATTTCAGTCCTTAGCAGCAGGGCAGGCTGATAGCCCAAGGCCCTTGTGGACAGATGACAAGACAGTCTGCAGTATGGGTTTAATGAGATCAGGACCTTAAATACTTGTGTATTGCAGAAGGTCATTATGTTCAGCCTTAACCTGTCCAAGGTAGAAAGGCAGGGCAGAAACTCAAATCTTCTGTCTCTGGGGCAGGGGTGGCTCTGCCTTTGAGGCCTTGGGATGTTCCCTTACATACAGATTTTCCTGTTTTCGGGGAGGTTTTGTTTTTCTGTAGACTTCACTGGCCACTGCTTTTGGGGAAGTCTAAGCTGCATGTGAGTGTTCGCCTCATTTCTGTGCCTCCATTGATAACCAGTGCTGGTCATTGCTACAGAAGTGAGGGTCCCAGAACATGATGGGACCACTGACAGGGCTAGCTGACAGTAATGTCTTTGAAGTCTGACAACATGAAAGATACTTGGCAAGGCTCTCTGCAGTCTCCTGGGTAGTGGTGCTTCCTGTGGAATGAAGTTTGTCACTGGGAAGAACATAGGGAATTAGGGCCACTGGGGGGCACTTCTGTGGAAAGTAGGGATCACCTGGGGTATTTCCTATTTTATATAGCATGTTACCAGGGGGCATTTCCTGTGGGTGTCACTTGGTGAGGCTCACAGGTATTCTTAACCCCAGGCCAATATGTCACCTCGGAGAGTTCCCAAGTATGCCATACATGAAGAATTCTACAATACTGTTTACTGGGCCCCTGGGAACTTGGGAATTTCCTACAAAATCCAGCCAGCCATCACCTGTCTGTTTCCCTTCAGACATGGCTTTACAGGTTGGAGGCTCCTTCCTGTGAGGAGTCTCCACAGCCTGGGAACCTGCTTCATCTCCATAGGGTATTTCCACAGGTTGACATGTATTTGCTTCTTTCTCTGCAGAAGGACATGGCTCTGAAGCCACATGAGCGGAAGGAAAAATGGGATCAACACCTCGTCAAGAAGCCCCGAGAGTCAGAAAACTGCCCATCTGCTGAGCTGAGTGAGAACAGGCAGCCCCTGGAGCTGGGCAGTCCAGGGCAGAATGCAGAGCCCACTTGTGATGAAGGGACTAAGAAGGTCCCGTTGCAGCCCTCCAAACAGGTAAGCATCCTGTGCCCTCCCTTACTCAAGATCTCTGCAGTGGTGGGATCTGCACCAGTTCTATACGCACACCTGGACCCCACCCTTCGGCGTCTGGCCTGCCTGGCAATGCACCCCATCATTGCTAGGCTTGGGGAATGGGGTAGATAGGTAGGAGCCAGGCTGGTCACAGAGGTGTGGGGACCTGTCTGTCTGCCCAACTGAAAAGGCCTGCCTGGCCAGTGCTATCGCTTCTCCCCAGGAGTACAGGGGTGTGTGCTGGCCAGGATGGGTGACAGTGCTAAGCTGATAGGCCGGCCCCGCTTCCCACTGCGTCTGTCAGGTTCCGCCGACTAGGTGTCTGGAGACATCCAGAGTGTCTCTAAATGGATATGGGGACAAGGCTCCTGCTAAGAGGGGAATGCTCAGCCAAAGGCTTCAGGTGGTGGTCCAGCAGTGAAAGGAGAAACCAAGAAAAGGGATGCCCTCCCTCCCCCAGGAGGAGTGTTTCTGGCCATATGAGGTCTGTCAGAGCAGGTAGAAACTGGTCTGTGCTGCCTGAGCATGGGTCTGTCCTGAGTCATGGCTCAGTGCTACAACTGCTTTCCTCCTGAGGACCCTAGGCCTGTGCCCTCTTTTTATAGAAAAGGGCTTTTCTCGGCAGTTAAGACTGCTCTGAGCTCCCTTGGGAATTGGGCTTTGGAGAGGGAATAGCATGTCTTGGGCCTGGGCTGGATGGGGGATCCGCGGGCACACCTGCCCAGGTGGACACATACTCTTTCTTCCATGCAGGTGTGCTCCCCAGAAGGGGGGCCGCTCCCAGCCAGCCCCTGGCACCAGAACGGCCCGGCCCAGCACCAGCAGCAACAACAGCCCAGCCAGTCCAGCCAGCCCCAGGGGCCCCTCCCAGCCCCAGGGCAGCCCTGCCAGCCCCAGCGGCCACCCCTGGGTCAGCGTGCTTGGCCCCATCGATCACTTGGCTTGAGACAGCCTTGCCAGCCCCGGCGCCCACTTCTGGGCCCTGGTCAGCAACACCGACCCCAGCATCTGCTTCCGGCCCCAGATCAGCTCAGCCAGACCCAGCGCTCACGCCTGGCTCAGCCCCGCAGGCCACTCTTGGCTCTTCCAGGCTCCAGGCAGCGCCTGCAGTCCATCCAGACTCCATGGCATCGCTACCCACTTCGGTCCCTGTTGACCTCGTGTCACCTCTGCCGGTCTCTACTGACCGTGTGGCACCGTTGCCGACCTTTGCAGTCATGGACCACAGAGTGTTCCTGTGACCAGCCCTGTAGGGCTGCCTCAGGACAGCGCTGCCAGCCCCCTCGGACTCTCACCTTGCAACCACGCCATTGTCCCTCCAGCCATCTTTCAGGCCAGTGCTGCTGCTCCTGGCAGGCACTGTTGGCCCCACATCAGCAGAGCCAGCCCCATAGATCTCTCCTGGGCCAGTCTAGTTGCCCCCGACAGTCACTGGTGGTCCTCAAGCAGCCCCAGCAATTAGTTGAAGGCCCAGAGCAGAGTAGCTCTCCAAATCCTGCCCTGCTGAGTCCTAGACAGTCACAACAGAAGTGTCCAAGTCTTAGCCCAGAGCCGTCTCACCTACCTAAACAGCCCCTCATGGGTCCAAAGAAGCCCCTGCGGTCACTTCTGGGCCCAGACCAACTTCGCAAACCCCAACCGTTACTTCCCCTACCCGATCGCCCTTCACTTCTGGGGCAGCCAGGCCTGGCCCCCCAGCCTCTTCTGAGGCCCCTTTGTCAACTGAGGCGGCAGTCCCTAATGGATCTGGTGCCAGCCCGTCAACCCCAGCCTTCGATCCTGGGCCATCCCTTCAGGCCCTTGAGGACACAGTGGACTCGAAACTCTGTCCTGGGGGTGGCCCGCCAAGCCCCATCTGTGAGTCCTGGAGCATGAGGCTTGTAGATAACTCCCTGGATGAATTTGTCACGCTGCAGTTGGGCTGCACCAGTGAGAACCTTACTCTTTAGATGCTTCACAGACTGCCATGAGGCTGTTCCCAGACTTCTTTGACTGATTGGGGCCTGAGGTCAAGGCAGGAGAGCCCCTGCTGTGCCAAGACCAGGCCCAGGCTCATCGCATCAGAAGCATCAGAAGAGAGATGAACGCCAAGTCATTCCATCATCCTACTGCCCCTTCCATAGGTGTCAGGCCTCTTGGTGTTACTGTGCCCCTCACATGCTTTATGTTGGACAACTCCTAGGAGAGGTTACACAGCCACCCAAGGACTTGGAGCCTGTTGGGATCCTTCAGCATCCTTTGGTGCCTCTAATTGCCAACAACATTTTTGCATCTCCGCGTCTCATGCATGTGTGCAGGTGCAAGTGGTGTGTACATGTGTGCCTGTGGGTGGCGGGCATGTGTGATGGAGTGCCAGCCTAGGCCTCACTTTCTGTCCCCCACTTCACACCCACTGTGTTCCCTGCCCTGAGCACAATGGCTTAAGTGACTCAGGGCCACAGCGTGCATTTGGTTAGCCAGGTTTCAGCTCACTCTGTAGTAGTGCGAGCGGCGGGCTGTGTTCCTGCCCAGCTCCGCATGGCTAGCTTTACCTGAAATAATTACGCAGAAACTGTATTCTTTTAAACACTGCTTGGCCCATTAGCTCTAGCCTCTTACTGGCTAGCTCTCACATCTAGATTAACCCATTTCTAATAATTGTGTACCACCACAAGGTGGTAGCTTACCAGTAAGATCTTAACCAGCATCCATCTTGGAGAGCAGAGCTATGGCGACTGCCTGACTGGGATTCTTCCAGCATTCTGTTCTGTCTACTCCGCCTATCTAAGCTGTTGTCCTATCAAAGGGTCAAGGCAGCTTCTTTATTAACCAACAGACATTTGACCCTCCTCCATCATCACACCTTTTGGCTGTGGGATGATGTTAGTGTCTACTTGAAGATCCTCCAGCTGCATAAGAGATATGAAGGGGTGGTGACTCCGTGGCTGCTTCCCCACCTCTCAGGGCTTTCTCCACCCCAGAGACACTGACAGGGCAGCTAGAAGCCTCTATCCGGACTCTTCATCCCCGTTACAACAGTGTTCAACCCTGATTCTGATGCCTATTACTACACTTTTGGGCCTGCACCTGTCCCTATTACCTGCAGTCAGGGGTTGTTCAGCTTGCCAAAGTTCCATCTTAGGGGAGCCGGCCCCACACTGGATCTCCTGGAGTCCCAGTGGCTAGATTGAGTCCGCGAAGGGGAGGTGACCAGAGCAGAGAGAGGACTCCTGGGCTTGGAACTTCTACCTGGGGGGTTGTCTAGGCTACATGGCTGGGCCCCAGTCACTGTACCTGGTACCTGTTCTTATTCCTGTTGACACTGGATAACCCCTTTCTGATGCTTAGCACAGCCTATGAACTGAGAATTTGGAACTTATTTTTCTGATTATAAAAATAAAGTGCCATGCCATTTTTATAACAGTGTTTTATAATTTAAATAGATGACCTGTTTCCCGTGATTTATTCCATTGAGTGGTTTTGTATATCTAGAGTTGGTCTTCTGTTCACTAAGTACTAGACAGAGGAGACTTGGAGTCACATTCTGTCCTGTGGGTCTGGGGAGCTGCTGTCCTTGCCATGACCCTCATGGAGAGGGCTGTAGTACCTAGACATGTGCAGTAGAAGTTTGTGGTGGGTATTGAGTTATTAAGGGTGGAGCTCTTGAGGGCAGGATTCATACGCCGAACTGGGCCCATCCATGTCAGTGTTTTGAAGAGAGTTGGCTGCATGGGGGTGGCCCAAGGAACCTAGCGCCTGAGTTAGACTGCCCTGAACCTACTCTACACATTAGCTTGTGGAAAGGGTTAGGGAAATCCTATTTTTGATGATGCACCGCACACATACAGGTCCTTCTGTCCTGTTTGGGGCCAGAAAGTGCATTGTAAAGTCCTCTTATCTCCTACTGCTCTGCTTAGTCTATTCCAGGGTTGGAAGGCTGGTTGGTTGTACCTGAGGGTATCTATTGTATCAGGCCAATCTGGGTGCCCTTGGCTGCCTCTTAGTTGTGTGTTTAAGAGGGGAAATAGAATACTGACAGTGGTGGGCAGATTAGCACAGAAAGTTGAGGCTTCTAGGATGAGGTCTTGTAGACGCTTGCTAAGGAAGACTACTTGAACGTAGTGGGTCAGAGACATGGCTCAGCTCAGCAGGTAGAGAGGTGCCTATGCCACAAGGTGGCAGGAGAGAACAGACTTTTTTTTTTTGGGTTTTTTTTTTTTTTTTTTTTTTTTTTTTTTTGTTTT